ACCAAAGCTTCCAGGGCCGTGCGATGTTCAGTGCACTGAGGAATGGACGTTTTCTGTAACAGATCATAAAGGCTCTTGCAATCTACCACGGCAAACGCTTGAGGCAATGACTTTAAAGTGATTTCAGGAGTCTTCCATTCCAAGGATGGGTTCAGGATCCATGCCCAGTGCAAACGAGTCCAGCTGAGTAGATCCAAAGCTCCTGATAACGCATAAGTCTCGGATGCCAAAGTGCTTGCAACCACTCTATTGATCTTTTTGGAAAACCAAATAAGGGGGCTAACGTGGGAGGATTGCAGATGGTCGATGTCCTCAGTAGTGGCCAAAATCAAACAACCTTTTTGAGAGTGTGCTTTCTCACGGGTTGCGAAAGCAGCATCTGAGAAGGACAAAAATCTGATTTGATCAGGCGGCAATGATTTCACTTTGATCTCAGTATCGGAGAATTTCTTGGCATCATTCAAAAGTCGGTTTCCACTCAGAAGGTCTGTCACAGTGGCACAAGTCACTCTTGCCTGAAGGAGACTCAGTCGGCAGGCTAAGTCAGGACGCGTGTTGGTGGCAGCGTATTGCAAACTACCTATCAGGCCTCGTAGATCTTGCAACTCTAAAGGTGTGACAGCAGACTCTGGATTTCTACGACGATCTCTTGATACATTGATGGGATTAATGTCATGTACATACCCTTGTTGACTGAGGGTGATATCGCCATTCACTTCTTGTTTTAGTTGTACACCCGTGAAAGTGAATGCACCTTGTCTTTGACTACCAAAAGGGAATCTTTTTTCAAGGCATTGGATTGCGTGAGCAAAAACAGAATCTCCACCACCTATGCCGTCATCAACATGTATTCCAAGTACACCATGGATATGTGGTTCCCCATTTTTGGTTGGGTTCTTGCGAGGCAACACAAATAAACATGGGTCCATTGGGGAAATGATGAAGCCCAAACTAAGGAGTGCATTTTTGAGTTCACAGTACCATAGGGGTGGTGCATTAATGAGTCCGTAGGCACCCTTCAAAAGTTCACAAACTTCATCATCCTTGAGAGCCATTTTTAGTCGGAGTTCAGGCGGAGGCTCCACACCTAAAATCCGAGAGTCCTGGCGACTCCCACGGAGGAAAGCTGTTCGGATATCAAATGATCTCACTGCCCATTTGTAGCTGGCGATGCATTGCAGAGCCAACATACGACTGTCCCTGCCCAACGTCGGCGAGTCACGAGGTAGTGAATCAATAAGAGGATCCTCGTATCCAAGAATAACCAAACGAGCCTTTGCCTTTTTCTCCAAACCAGTCTCTTCTCGTTCTTGTTGATCTAAAGGTTTCCAGGTGAGCACCCATCTAGAACGCAGTAGTTGACCTTCAGGAACTTTGTTTCGAAGAATCCTACGTACCGTGTCTGTGGCTAACCATGACGAAATCTCTTTTTCTTTGGCTTGTTTGAAGAGTTCAGATTCTTTGGGACTCAAGTCTTCCAGTTTCACCTCAACTTTTTGGCGCTTGGCAGCGGTGGCTAGATAACTTTCTTGATAGTCATAGGTTTTCCCAAACACTTGTGAAAGTCATCCCGACTCAGTTCAATCTCCGCATACATGACATGTTGGGAAGTCTGAGAAGACTCCAGGCAAGACAGGAGGGCGTCTTGGATCTTGTGCGGCAATGCATGTGCTGAAATCGTGAACCACGTTTGACCAGTCCACGGTTCCGGCAGCGGAACATGACTTTGAACATTGTCCAACCAGTTCTCTTCACGCTGAAACTCACCTCCGGATGCAAATGTCCCTTTGGAAATTCGTAGGGACTCCAGATTCTCCACAGGCACAGGGCACTTCCAAGCATCATGAGGAAAGAAGGGTTTCAATCTATGTTCAACATGGTGTCTGATCAAAGTGTTCCCACAAACTTGCCAATAGTCATGGTGATGATCTATTGCTACAAGGTCATCGTCCGAGTCATCAGGTATCGGTGTAGCAATGGCAGGATCAAACTCGGCAGGTGATGGGGTTACTGGGGGTTCGGTATCAGGTTGGCTCGTTGAGGAAGGTATTTCGGAAAGTTGGGGATTGCCATGTTGATGGTGAGCAGGGTTATTCAATTGATGGATTACAGTCTCTGGTTCATTGGAATGAGTAATAGTGGGTGGTAAGTTATTGTGCACTTGTGGATCGCTCATGGTTGTTGGAGGATGGCTCTGGTGGGATAATTCACGGAATTGAAAAACCCCGGGCATTTGGAACAAAGACCGATCCTGTTGAGAGATCGATCCGGCTTCGTCAGCTGACAATTGTCGCACATGTTCAGGGGCACACCTAAACAGACGAGTCATGTGGCTGATCCAGACCATATTGGGCTGTTCAAGCATCAACACCTTCGCCGGCCCATGCCAGGAACCTGGTTCAACGCCCTTACCCGATTTCCAATACATCACAAAATCACCTACTGAAAAGTGCATACGATCAGGTCTGGACCTAGCATGTAATGCTCGTCGCAGGGTGGCACAATGGTCAGCACGAATGAATGCCACTCTGGCTGCCTCTCTTCTGGCAAGCTGCTCCTGAAATCGGCTCCCTTCAGTGGAATCACAATCAAGTCCTCGGAAACCGGCACTATCCAAAAAACCTGACATGTTACTTCCTGGTATTGGTTTCATTTTACCTAGGACCCAAAGTTCAGGAGTGTATCCCTCGTGTCGGGACATGGCATCCTTGGCATGACACAGTTGCAAAAGGCACTGATTGAAGTCTTCGGCATTGCGTATTGGTTTTTCTTCATGAAACTTGTCAATCATTCGCAATAGTGTCGCGCCATGGCGTTCTGCACGTCCCAATTGCCAGTGTGCATCCGTGGGTATTACATAGCTTTGTATGGCCTGTTCTTGGAGGAAATGGGCGAACAACTCACTGTTGGCTTCAGTTGTGCTATCAAACATGAGGCTCTTGGGAGGTCCGGCCCAACGCAACCACGCAGTGGAAAAGGCATCTATCAACCCTTCTGTTGTTCTTTGTTGATAGGGAATGGCTACATGAAAATTGGTGGCACTGTCAATGAAGTGGTAGAATGGGTAGGATTTACCCTGAGGATCTCTCCATTCGGCACCATCAAACGACACATGATCATTGAAGTCTTTGGGACTCGAGAGCTTCCCAGGCCTTGCAACTTTGGGCAATTGATGTTCGACACAGCTTGAGCATCGAAAGTCTGAACAGGCTACAATATCTCTCTCAGACCATCCTGCTCGACGGAGAGCGAGCTGCAGCACTCGGTTGTCCGGATGTCCAAGGTTCTGATGCACCTTCTTGATCATGTTCTGCGTTTGGGGGTCTAAACTCAGGAATCGAGGACCATGGTCTTGGCATTTGATAGGAATTGCAATACTTGGTGAAGGGGAAGTTATGTCAGGTGCGTTATGGGTGTTATCTTCGGGGTTATCAGGGTTATTTTCATGTGGGTTATTGGGAGTGGCTGTTTCCCCTGGATTTTCTGAGAAACGAGTCCTCTTATCCTCGGCTGGGTCTTCATTGGGACGGTGGTTCAGTCTCTTGTTGGTGGCAAAAATGGTCACCCGGATTTTGGCAGGAGTGCCACTGCGGATCTGTTGTCGCCTGGAGAGTGTCTCCCAGCTTTCCCACTCTTGGTCTTCAATCACTTGCAAATCAGCACGTCTCTTGCCGAATGAACGGCGGAAAGGTGCGAGGCCCTTTGTACCAATGGGACACGTTCGTAAACGATCAACCCCTCTACAAACATCAACGACGACCACCTGTTTGTCGGGATATCTGGTCTGGATGGCATTGAAAAAGGGTCCATCTTGGAAAATGGCTTTACCTACTCGGGGAGCACACTGTTCTGCCATTTCCAAAAGGGCTGAAACGGCTGGCAAATGCTGAGACATGGGAAGCTGACTACCGGAACTACTCAGGGAACTTTGGTTCACAGAAGTCTCACTGCTAAGCGGTGCGAACAGTTGTTCAGGATGAAACTTACCAGACAGGCGGCGTCGCTTTGGCTCTGGTGTTTCATGTGCAGGTTCTGTCACAAAGGCAGACTGGGATCGGAAACCAAAAGTTCTTTCATTTACCTGGCAACTACATTGGATGGCACGACCTACACGATGTCCAAACGTCGCAGTGTAGAGTTCTGAAAACTTGGAAACAGCCATGCGGTGTTGGCCCAATGGTTTGCATGAACCAGCAACTGAATCATGGTGATGTTCACCCACACATTGGCTTCTCTGAATCGTTCTCCAAACAATCTCGGATGTAGTCAGAATCTGAGTGCGCTTCCTAAGGAAATCATGACTGTTTGGGTGTTTCAATCTTCCGGCAGTGCACATATCACAAATGGCCTTGAAGGTGTTTTCAACTATGGTTTCCATTTCTCTTTGATAAACCAATTCCGACCCCTGGGGCTGTTCCAGATGGAAGTGGCAGAAATCTCCACGCCAATCCTGCACTCGGAACAAAGCATCGCATAAAAGCAAGTGGACGTTTTCAGCCCTACGCTCTGACATGATTCGATCTGCCAACTCTTGAGACTTTGAGGCATTGAACCTGTTCCAGTTACTCCAAGGGCCACACCTAGGAGCAGTCCATATATGTTGGGGTCTCAGAACCCACAAAACGTCATACAGTTTGCAACGACCTTGAAAAGTCGACAAATCTCCATGTCGCAGGCTGAATCTCTGAGCGCTCAATCCCAGCTTGGAAGTTTGCTGAGTCAATTGGCTGCCTTCGGAACAATACACTTCCAGAAGGTCACAATGTGAGGTAGAAAAATGACGTCGAAAGTCTTGCAATTGAAACTGGGGGTGTTTCTTCTTCCAATACGTCCACATTTCTTCGTAAACCCAGTTGGCACGATCGACTTGATTATTCAAGACATCTTGAAAATAAGCTTGATCTACTACTTGTTCTGGAAATTGTTTCACAACTTGACACCATTTTCATCACATATCCAAGACCGGAATTCGGAGGCATCATGTCCGGCTCTCACATCATCTAGGGTCGAGGCTGGTTCTGGGCCATCACCATCTGAGACAGTGCTTGGAGCTGCTGCGCGATCTGCGCTAGAGTCCCTTCCATCGAATTCAGTCGTTCCCCCTGCTGATTCACTTCGGCTTGCACACTCCAGGATCGTCCCAAGTCCTCGTCGGACCAACTGCCCACCTCTGACGGCGGTGCTGAGGGACGGGGGGCACACTTGGCTTTGGCTCGCAAGTTCAGGCGAGCAGGACTCTCTGGGTGATCGTCCGGGGCCAAGTTCCCCTGAGTGAGCTCCATGCGCTCCACATACAGGTTCAGGAAGTACAGGAATGAGCGATGGCTGGGCTTCTCGCTCTGGGCATACTTCTTGGCAAACCATTTCACATACTTGGGGTCTTCCTTCACCACATCGATGTAGCGTTGGTTCAGTTTGGTTTCTCCAAAACTGATGCGAAGATCTGAGAGCTGGGCAAACGACATCTTCTGGAACTCTTCTTCCTGCTTCTGTTCCACGACGGCTGCAAATCGGTCGGCCAACGACACAGGATTGCTGCTGGACATCACTGGAACTGGTATGAGACTGATCGACGGGACCACCCTTTTCACTGATTTCAGCCACACTACGGAATCTGACATCGATTGCAGATGACGACAAGCCCTCATGAACATGCATGACAGGCAATGGCTTTTCGGCTGGCTTCGGTGTTGACATCCCTGATTGCTGTGCTTTCCTGATGAGTTCACAAAAGTCCACCAAGTACAGTTTCTTTTCCGACAACGAAAGCTTCATGGAGAATCCCAGTGAGGCAAACTGCACTTCGTCCTGTGCGGTGTCAATCCTAGCCCCTAGTGTTCTAAAAACATTATTGGAGATCAAAAAAGGTGTCTGGGATTCCACAACACAAAGTTTGACATACCATTTGGCTAAGGGAATCAACAGGGCATACTGACAGGTGACGGTGCTGCTGTTGCCAAACCTGAAAACGGTGCTACACGGCACGCGATGGGTCTGTGCTTGCACGTCCTTGGGAAGGTGGTTCCAAAGATCATTCAACTGAGTCTGACCAATGACAGTTTGGCTGGCACCTAGATCAACAATCCCGTACGGACCGTGGCTGACAAACATGGCTACACTCTCAGAGGCCTCTGTGGGCACAAACATCGGTGGCTGCGTCTCAGACTGACTCTTCTGTGGAGGGCTTAGGCGTCCCTTCACTGCATTCAAAAACCTGGACAACCGATCAGGAGTGAGGTGACTCATGGACATGTCATGTTTACCTGTCTGACCCATAAAACACAAAGCTTCATGATTTTCTTCTACCGGAGTCAACCAAGGAACATCCATGGACGAGGAAATCGGGATCATGTCAGCATCATCAGAACCCTGAGAAGTCAAGGCCGTGGCAAGACCGGCAAAGGCGCTATCTTTGGCAGAATTCATGGCTGTGCTGGTCGAAGAAGATCTATTGAGCGGACATTCCGCCTTCCAATGACCACGAGCGCCGCAGCGCCGACACTCACTTTCCAAAATTCGCTGTGCCAAAGGCTTGCGCCCTTTTCCCCATCCCTTGGACTTTCCCTTGAACTTCCCTTTGACATTGGTACTTTGGCCTTTGTTGGGAAACCAGAATCCCCTGTTCTTATTTCGATCTGAAAGCCTCTTGCGGGCGTCCACATAAGTATTGTAGCAGGCTGCTAAGTCAGGGTCCCCTTGCAAAGCATCAACCAGGCTATCTTCAAACTGCATGCAGACTACCGCGTCAGGGTCGTTTTCATCAAAAGGAATTTCACTTTCATCCCACATTTCACCCACATACGCAGTCTCTTCTTCGGCAAACAAGGTGGCTGGTTCATCATCAAAAACTGCATTCACATCATAGGTCTTGTTGCGGGCTGTAGATCGATTCCCAGTTTGAAGCTCATGAAAAAACTTGGATCCCAAAAGTTTCAGAGAGGAGACAATTGATTTGTATTCTAATGCGCCCTTGGCGTCAACAATCAGTTTCTTTTTATCTTCTGCAGAGAGCCCCGAATTCCTGAGCAAAACGTACGCTCGAACCTCTTCGAAGCCCACACCCATTTGCAGGAGTTCCTCAAACTGAACATCGTGACGAGCCAAATAGCTCTCATGCGCCTCATCTTGGCGCTGCACTGTTGTAAAAATCGCACGTTCGAACCTCTCAAACTTGTCCTCCAAATTGCTTTTCCCCCAGATACCCCCAAGCGTTGTAACCAAAAGTTTAACACCATCCATTGAATTGACCTTCAACTTCGTGGCATCAAGTCTCATGATCCGCTTGAAAGATGAACCTTCACAGAGCATTGCCGCTCGTGGGGCAAGATGATTCAGGTGTTCAGGGGGCCACAAATGAGCTAGGAATTCAAGCTTCTTTGTATACTCATTGATATCTGTCTCACCTGGCTTAAAGCTAGGTATCATAGCCCATGGCAAATGGGACAACGTGGGGCCACCAGTTGCTGAGGTCGGCAAACCAGAAGCTGCTGAAGCTGTCTCATTTTCGGCCATGCTGGATCAAACTGCTTCCAGGAAACAAAGGAAATCAGAGGCCGCTCTGAATCAGAAAGTCTTCCTGGCAGTGGCAGCTCCGCTACCAGTGTTGGATCGGATCCCAACAGCTGGCGCGGGCCCCAACCTTTCCAAAAGATAAAGAACCAAAATGAACTGAAAGGGACCCCTGGTCCAAACAACCTGTCGCCCACCGGAGCGAGTCACGGAAGCTCCTTTTCTATGGCTGCACCTCACGCACACCACAGTCACACGGGGCACCCTAGCCCTACACAGAAGGAGTCTCGGGCCGCAACCTCTTGCAGCAGTCATATATGTTCACCCGCTGGAAGTTCCATGTAGACACAACTCATTGTGATCATCCAGAAAACAATATACCAACATGCAAAATTGGCTGCAAAATCACAATATATACATACATATATATATATATATAGATACATACATATATAGATACATATATATATATACATACATATATATATACATATATATATATATCGTGAAATTATGTATTTCAGTGGCTTCAATTCCACTGGAAGCCCATTAGCACCTGCTCCAGCTGTTTCTCCAGTTGCAAAACCCGCTCGCGCAGCTCTTGGAGCTCATCCTCCGTTGAACTGGCCACCGGGAATGAGCGAATCCTGAGTGTTTCGCATGGCAGCTGAAGCCTGGTTTTGATAGAGTTTAAGGGGATTTATGGGGATTTAATTGAATTTACCTGTTTAAAGGGGATTTAATTGAATGTACCTGTTTAAACAACAACAAGTAATTGAATTTACCCTCTGGCAATCAAACGTGGCAATGGAAAATCCCCCAAGTGAAGGTTTTTATGGGAAAATCCTCTATAAATGGTGGATTTTCCATTGCCACGTTTGATTACCGGATGGTAATTGCAATTTAATGGGGATAAATGGGGATTAATGGGGATTAATTGGGATTAAGTCAATTAACAGGGATAAATATACAATTAGAAGGAATTTCATGGAAATTGAATGGGATACCTTCTGGTTATTCTAGAAAACGGTGGACTAAAAATACAAAATGTTGGTTTAACAATATTTAACCAATGAAAAACAATACATAGTGGATTTGGGTATGTCTGAAAAAATACAAATACCTCCAAAAAAATGGCTTTAGTGTGGATTTCATGTGGATTTTCTGGGATATATATATATATATCCCCAACAATTGGGTTTGCCCTCTGGTAATTTAGCATGGCTGGGAAATCCCGAACTAAATGGATGTTTCTACAGTAGTGGGCAAAAGATTGGAAAATAATCCATAGCTATTGAAAATCACCATTTTTAATGGGAAAATCCACTATTAATGGCCATTTTCAATAGCTACGTTAAATTACCAGAGGGTATTTCTTCTTGTAATCTAACAGTTTGCCATGGAGGAGGCGATGTTTGTTGGTAAAGCATCTACAGATTGATATTTATTTGTCCAGGCTATCAAAAAAAATACCAGAGGATAAGTTGCAGTTGTTCGGTGGCTAATAACGTTTCCCAACTTGTTGATTTCCCCAGCTATTGAATCCTGAGTTACTCTCCAAATATTGGAAGGTTGGGATCATTCAATAGCTGGACAAAAATCCTGCTTAGATCCTATCACCCGTTGTAGGATTTTTTCCGGAGAATGGATGGTGATGGTATCATGTGGGGTTCAAACAATGAATGCTATGACTTGGCTAAAAAACCACCAGCCTGGCGCAGCATCCCCAAGCGTTGTAACCCCAGGAGGTGGAGTTTTCACCCATTGACACCACTGTACCCAAAATCTCTATCGAAATGTCGTATGTCGTATGTCCCTTCAAAACTGGATTTTTTTCATCCAGAATCCAGAGTGATAAGTTCCTTTTGAAAGGGCCATATTACTCAACAAACCATCAGAACATTGGCAAAGTGCAAGCATTGCAGTTGTCGCTTCAACCGAGAGACGTCTCGTGGATCTCCAACATCTTAACGAAGACAACAGTCAGCTCTTTACCTTGACAGGGTCCAGCGTTCCCCACCCTAAAAACTTCAAGAGTGTGGCTGATGGGTTTTGTTGATAAAATCATGGGAATCTAGCCAACAAAACTGGGGCGTCAGCAACGGGCATATTGTGAACATATACATACATGGGATATGTGGCTGGCCACTTGACAATGAGTCTTCCATAATCCAATGACCATGGTAACGCTTCAAAAATTACCCTGGGATGGGCGACCAAGTGACGTTTCCCCGGTTCTGGTTCAGAAAACGCATCTCCCTCTGCATCACCACGATACACTGAAAATGCAGAGAAGTTGCCATCAAGATCATCAAAAGTCCCGAGCTGCTTCTCGATCTCTTGTCGTTCAGCATCTGGAAGCTGGCGCAAAGTCATGTCAAACCTGCGTTCGCGACACAAATCCCGGATCCATCCAGATCAACTTCCCCAACTTCAAATGAGACCGGAATCTCCCAAGTCCACAAGACATTTACCCTCTGGTAATGACTAACATAGCTATTGAAAATGGCCATTTATAGTGAGTTTTCCCAATAAAAATGGTGATTTTCCATAGCCATGTAAACGTTTACCAGAGGGTAGGACATGACCCAATGTTACAATATGTTCCAATATCCCAACCTCTGAAAACCCCAACCGCTCCGTGCCTGATGGATTTCAGTCTCCCTCGAAGATCTTCCTTGGAAAGGTCCTTGCTATCCAGGCCAAATCCAAAAATCAAGGCAGGAAAAATCTGAACGAATCTCAGTGACTGTGGGATTTGTTCATTTTGTTCTTTGACTATCTCAGAAAATACCACTAAATCCTACAAAATCATACAAAACCTCTCAAATTTTGATCCATTGCCAGGGTTTTAAAACCTGGCGACGCATCACTGAAGTGACCAGTCCTGCAGTTGCAGCTGAAACATGGTCTGCGCGCCGGCAGCTCCTAAGCTCCAACAATATCATATTGGATCGCTTGAAAACAGCTTCAAAACTGAGCCAAAAGTGAAATTTTCTGTAGTTCTGTGGAATATAGTTTAGATTTCCATCCGAAAAAGGTGAAGAAGCAGATTTGAGGCCATGCTTGGATGATTTCCGGCTTTCCGGGAGGTTGCTGTGCAGTATCCAGCTGAAGAAACAGGATCTTCGCCACTTTTCGGTTTCGAACCACAGCTACCCCAAATCTGCCCACAACCTGAATCTCTTTTTAAGGTGAGGAGCAAGAATTGCAAATCAAACCAATAATGTGGTAAACCCAATGCCATAAACCATGCCCAAATTTCATCATAAATGGGTGGTATAAACCATCTCAAATGGTATATACGTAGGTTTATGCCATTGGGTTGCCCATATTATCCAGTTTCCATCGGAAGACGGAGATAGAACATCTAGGATAAAATTGAAACCATCCACTTTGCGCAGTTGATATTTTTGAGCCCTACCAACCCAAGGTTTGACCTTTTCCCTAAACTGATTCTTTTGGAGGTCTAAGGCAAAAATGGCTGGTCAATACTGGTCGTCTCAAAAACCTATACAATCTGACAGATACGGAATCTTCACCCATGGTCGATGGTGAAACAACAAGATTTGTGGCCTATCGCCTCAGTGGCCCCCCTCTCCAGCTGAGCATCTCTGACTGCCTTCCAGGAAGTCGCACAACTTCAGCGTCGCGGGGTGCGATGCTACCATCCCCAAGATGCAGCCACCAACGCCTCGGCCGGGACCCCGATTTCTGTTGAGAAACAAACTTTTGGAGGGTCGCTTGCTAGCCCCCGGTCAGCATATGTCAGCACCTTGGTGATGACTGGCAGATTTTGGCCCAAAATATATTTATTTCCCAGCTAGTACATGACCAAGTACCACTGGCAAGTGGGGTTCATAATCATGACCAGTTACACTACGTTACAATGTTACACTGGTAGACTCCCTGTTGCAGAATGTGCTGACCCCACTTTCCACAGTACACGGCTTTGTCATCTGATTTATCACTCCAATAAATAACAGTTTACTTCCCAAAAATCCAATGGTTTCCGGCAAAATCCCATAGTTTTCCCTTATTTCCATGGTATTTCATCATATTTCCCGGCAAATCTCTCCATCTTTGCCAAAAGAAATCGCAACCTCCGAGGCACACAGCTCAATCGCCAGGCACAAACATTCGAAGAAGGCGCCCAGGGCCGTCTCCGGCACTGCGTCCCCCACAGGGTTGGCGAGTGAAGCCATTGAGGCCGCCATGAAATAATAACCTCAGTGGCGACTCAGCAGGCGATCAACGAACTGCAGGAAGGTAAAAAAATATGGATCAGCTTACCCTGGATGTCTAGCAGTGGCTGATCTTGCACGACTTCCCAAGAAACTGCCTGGGAAAATATGGCAACATCTCGAATCTGGGCATGAAGAAAAGAGTGTTCAATCAAAGTTGTCCAAAATGCCTCTCGCAGAATCTTTGAGAATCCTTGAATTGAATCCTTAAATCGATGCTTGGAGGATCTACCTGCATAGGAAAACACCTGTGAGCCCTTTTTTTCCAATGACAGATTGCAGTTTTTATTGGGGAATGCTCCGATAAACCAACTTCCATTTGACGGTCGTGATGGTCATCCTTACGGTCCCATGGCTTCTGAAAAACTTATGGTCCCCGTGATGTTCATGAAACAATATGGCCCCCAGCTAATTGCCAATGGTTCCATGGCATAAATGACATATTCAATGCTTTTCAGCCCTTTGCAAATTGACAGTTTAACCACAACAACTGTCAAACGCTACCATGTTTGCTTTCTGCTGCACATGAGCCCTGAGGGGCAATGGTTTTTTTGGTTCGAATCATTGGTGAACCCCCTCTGTGCGACTCAAAAAGGGTAGGGACACTTTCGTACCATACCAGGGATTATGCAAAGGAATATAGTGTCCAGGCTTTTTTCACGGCGTCAAAGTATATATATAGCCAATCCAAAAAACCATGTGAGGGCCATATGCATGTAGCAGGAGCAGCCGCAGTAGCAGTAGCAGTAGGTGTAGTGGTAGTAGTGGTGTGAGTGGTAGTGTTGGTAGTGGTGGTAGTGGTAGTAGTGGTAGTAGTGGTAGTAGTGGTAGCAGTGGTAGTAGTGGTAGTAGCAATAACAGGAATATCAGCAATATCAGCTTGCTATCAGAGATATTGGCAATGTTGACAATATTGGCAATGTCAGCAATGTTGGTCAAATTAGCAACATTAAAAAAAAAAACTGAACTACGCTGCTCTGGCTGACGCTGATGGTCAGCATGCAACCAGGCCAGAGCTCTTCGAAGGGCTAGGCCGGAGCATCCAAAGGATGCGAACTGTGCCAGCAACATTGGCCATATGTAGCAATACGCACTAATATGCAGTAAGAATGTTTATCTATTTAAAGACAACAACCACCAGAAACCGCAACCGATAACACCAATAGTCATCATGACCATTTAAAAAGATAGGATCCAAAAAAATATAATCATCATCGTCGTCGTCGTCGTCGTCATCATCATCATCATCAATCATAATAATAGTGAGCATCACCATCGATAATACTGTAATCAATAATAAACATTAATAATCAATAATCATCAACAACAATCAATAATAGGCAATAATAATCCATCATCATCCATGTAAATCGATGATAAATGACAATAATCAATAATCATCACTGATAATCACTAATAATCGATAATAATCAATAAGAATCCATAAGAATCAATAAGAACAACCATCATCAATAATACAACATGCGAATTTCATGAGACTAGAAATTCAGATGTTCCAGACTTCCAACAAAAATTGCTAATGATCACGTCATCATCATCCCCTCCCTTTTTAAAACCGGTTTTTAGTCGTCCAGTGACCATCCAGAAGGCTCCAGCCCTCGATCCCGGCCATCAGCGCACCGATGATCCAGGTGAGGACGACCATCGTCACCGGGGTCTGTCGGTCACGGCATCACCGGGGAGACCCTTCTGGGTTTTTTGGAGAAATTCCGATGGGAAAAACGTAGAAAAACGTAGTGAATACTGTACTGACTGATGAATGAGTGTGAATTTCTGGTGTGAAAATTCTGAAGAGTGATGAATTTTTGTGTGAATTTCTGGTGTTTTGCTCGTAGCTGGAGAATGATTGGAACTGATTCATAGGAAAACGTGGAGGATATAGTTGGAAAGTGTGGGGAAAATGTGGAATACTTACTAACAATATAATATAACTTACAACACGTACCCAATAGTAGTGTTTTATGAAATGTGGATACCCTGATTCTCAGGATGATTCCTTTTAGACCCCTATTGTGGTTGATATTTGGAGATTTATGTGTGGCATTGTGGATCCAACATTGCATCATAGCGGCATTCAACTTATAGTCCCACTGGGTAGCTGTATACCGTATACATCCGTATACATCCGTATACATCTGGTAGGGCTCCATCAATATCATCAATGAGATGTACTTAAAAGATCTTAAAAGGATGAACTGATCCACAGCTGCTACAGCTCTCATTCTGCAGGGTCCATTTCTCGAGTTCCGTGTTGGCTTTCTGTGATCCCACCTGTAGACAGACATCGAAAAAAACATCGAGATCTGGGGGGATCATTTCACGTACCGGTCATATGAGTCATATGCCAGGAGTCTGGCCAGAATTTGTGTTTCCACTTTGGACTTAAAAAAAAAATCAAGCCTCACTGGGGCGTTTTGGGGCACTTTTTTTTGGCCTTTTGTGGCCATCCTGAGGCCCCCCACAATGATGAAAAGGAAAGCCAGAAAGCCACAGGTCGACTCCGGGACTTTGCCAGCCAAGGCAGTCATCAAGGACATGTTGGCCACGAGACCCATGGCGGTGGTCACCAGAATCACCGCATACCTTGGCCCCGCAGCCGCATGATCCTGGGTATCCGAAAAAAATCTACCGAAAAGCCTTTGGACAAAGATGTGGCTTCACGGGAAAGATCTAGGGAAACTACGTAGAAGATATTACAATCTTGTTCCCAAATCTGAAATCAGGAGGGTGGTCTGTGGTCTCGCTTGCCCTTTGGTATTTAACCTAAGCTAGCAATGGAAGATCGTCCATGAGACTGTCCGTTTGATGATTATCCCATGAAAAATGCGGATTTGCCAGCCAGCCAGACCAAGTTACTGGAGAATAACCATCATTGATGATGGGGCTCCAGTGTTATCCCAGTTATCCCCAAGATTCACAAGAAGAATACCCTGTCAACGTGTGGTTCCCGCCATCCAACCACTACGAGGCACATATTGACAATGATAGCAAAGTGGATGCCGGCATCATTGGTGGGCACGATATCCGTCAGAGGCTGGGTCATGCCCAAGACGTTGGAAAGGAGGTACTCCACCCTGAGATTGGTCGGGCTGTCGTGTTTCGATCTGGAAGATCAAAAAGCTACATCATGCCATATTAATTTGAGTGGTTTACGTTTACATGAAATCAACAACATCGTTCGTTTCGTCATGATGTCATGCCCATCAGGCAGAAAAGAAGAAAGAATATCTGAATAGCTTGCTCGGGATCTGTTTATGAGACCCATTCAGAGTCTGAAGAATCTCTTGGATCCCGCATCAGTCAATGGAATTGTAGAGGAAATCAAATCACCCACTCTCTCATGAGCAGTGAAAACTATCTCGATCCGAGGGTTCTCAAAAGACACAAGGTAAACATGTCCTTTTTTTGCAATTTGGCCATGTCTTTTTCACGTCAAAAAGCCAATCAGATCCTCAAAAAATCACCAGCTGCAGTTCCACTGTGTTCCACTTTGTCAGACAGGAGATCTTCACCCAAAAAGTTCTAGGGCTTTAAAAATCCCAACTTCTGGAGGTTATCATCATAGGTAATCATAATCATAAGATATCATAAGTATATGTACCACAGTATAACTGTATAACATTGTATAACCATATATAACCATCTTTCTTCGAACCCCAACCACCCAACCCCCACCCAACCGCCACATCGTTTGATCGCGGCACCCGATGGCGGCGGGCCAATCTTCAAAGGCGGCCACCGAGAGTCCCAGGAGCACTGAGCAACAGACCAGGAATAAAGGCAGAACTCCCAGCCTTGGCGCAGTGCCCTGGGGAGAAGCGAAGAAGGTGAGGTCCCACGAAATTTCAAAGTTCACAGAAGGTGAAGTCGATTGGGTTGATTAGGGGGAGCTATAATGGCTTCATAAACCAACTAACATTTCACTGCAAAACTCCACCTTGTAGGTGATTCATCGTGGATTTATGTGGATTTAATGGGGAGTAATGCGGATATACAGGGAATTGATATAACGAACGAATGAGAGGATAATGAAACACGGCTAGCTGCGAAATCCTCGTAATGTCATCTTCACCAGGGTACAAACGTTTTGACCCACACCCGTACGTTGTTTTTCAAGGTACACCTGGAATTGCAGGAAAGCCGCATGAAGAATATGGAAGCTACAGAACCTCTCAGGACCTTGGCTCAAAACGACTGACCCAAAAAATTGGATGCGTTTACCCTCCGGTGTCGTCAAACATAGCAATGGAAATCCCCTTGAAATGGAGGTTTCGAGCTGGGAAAATGAATAAAATGCTGGATGTTCCATGCCATTTTTGATGAGGATGATTGGGATAGCTTCCTGGGTCCGGTTTTTCTGCTACCGAAAAACACCATCCAGCAGAATCTCATCTGATTTGGTCAACATCAGAATCTTATCATCTTATCTTTAAAGGCTTATGATGGTTCACAAAACCCAGTATTGATCCATAGCCAATTTGAGCATGTCTTTTGTTTTGAACCAACCCTGTGTTTTTCAAAAAACTGCCACAAAGGATTGCCGCAACTCGCGGCTTTTTGCGCTAACCGCGGGAAGGGACAAAGGGATAGCCCCCATACGCCAGCAACCCCGGCGAGGCGTGCACAGCGTGTTCGATGCCATCCGCCGTCTTCCTACCAGGTGGATCTTCCCAAGGCTGGACAGGAGGAGATTTCTTGTTGGATCAGTAAATCTATAGGGGGTTCAATAATTTCTCGGGTTTTATTATGTTTTATTGTTGATAAACCTGAAACCAGCAAATTTAGGGGGGTTCATGGTTGGGAAACAACACAGAACAAATGTGCGAAAGGTTTTCCTCTGGCAGTTTGACACTAGCTGGCTGGGAAATTCCAATTTCTAGAGGCAACATCATTTCAAGAGATTTAAATAAATGGTACCCTCTGGTAATTTAACGTAGCTATTGAAAATGGCCATTTATAGTGGATTTACCCATTAAAGATGGTAATTGTCCATAGCTATGTTAGTTTACCAGAGGGTATTTTGTTCATTGCCATGTTTGATTTCCAAACCAAATTAAATTCTGAGTGATTTCCAGTTGCTCCCGGAATTGGTTGCAAGGACTAGCCGGAAACCTGAAATCCTCTTGGGATTATCTGAGAAGAGAAATTTTACAAGAAGTAGAAGAGCAAGGGGAGTCCTCTTTGTGTTCTCTTGGATCAATTTTTCGAGACAGGGTGAAGCCCTTTCCAAGGTGATTCACTTGGTCCGATTTTTTCAAGGTTTGACCCCAAATTGAAACCGAGAAAAAATTCACTAGCAGCATCCCCATGAAATGGGATGCTTTGCGATGAACTTCCAACACCAATTTAAGGGATGAATCTGGGTAAATTATAATATTTCACTAACCTGAATTAAGGCCATCTGGGGATGATTCCCCTTATTAACCATGATTTCCAGTGAGGTCGCAGTGAGGTCGTTATAATTTACCCAGATGAATAGAAATCATGGTCGCTGGGGCAGAGCCAAGGTGATCATTGAAGTTCTCATGCTGGGACGGAGAGACGGCCTGGATGTCATCGGCGTGTCGATGAAACCACTTCTGCTTGCTGGGTGCAACACATCTTTGAAAAATAAATGGCGATTGTGGATCAGAAAATGAGACCACTATCCCGAAAAAATCAGAAAACTAGACAGTTGAAGCTGCCAACCTATGATTGGAGTTGATTGGATATACTACTCCCCTTTTTGTTGGTTAAGAGCCCATGGGGGTTCATGATCCAATTCACCATTTTGGTTGGTCCAATCCCCATGTCGTTGGGTAAATGTCACCATGTTTGTTGCATACTGTTCGCATGTCTGCTTTTCCTCTCAATACTTTGGATCTGACCCATTGTCCAGGGGAACTCTGTTGGCCATTTTCTGCAGACAAACCATCCAATCTTGTTTTTTGGGGACAACTTGCCAGTCCCCCCAAAAAAAATCGTCCTTCGGAAGGGACGTCGATGTCTCCGATGGGCACAGAACGAAGTGAGAGCCAATAGAAGGATCACTAATAACATCATCCAACCTGACGACAATCGAAGATCTTGGTGTGAACTCACCATTGATCCACCACACCGGAATTGGAAGAATTTGGCCTAAAATGCGTGGTGCAAAATCAACGCGAGTGGGGATTGAACCCCACCAAAATGGGGGGTATAAGCTATATTGTTGCTGCAGAATAGGGTACCCCCTACCTAAGCATTGCTGGGATCCTCATCTATGCTGCTGCTGCCACTCCTGCAGTCCCTCAGCTACCCGGGCATCCAGCATTTTAAGAGACAAGCCCCAGTAAAAATGGTGTCCCAGCAAAGAAGAGGTGGGTTTTTATTTCATATGGGACACCATATATAATCATATTCATATGGGGTATTTCCATAAAATAATCCCATAGGCTATGTATTTCCCAGCCCAGCCCAGTAAATCAAGCCTAGCCATAAAAAACATCCCGATGAACTTGGATCAACCCGATCGGTCGCCATCTCCCAGCATCGTCCAGCAACTGTAGTGCACCAAGATCATCAGAAATTCCTCACCGCTGGGATGCTGCACCACTTGCAGCCCACGCACTTCGGCCGCTTCGGCCGCTTCGGCCTCAGCCATGGACCTGAGAGGTGCTTCTCCACCATCCGAAGCCATGGCTCCCCGTGTGTCATCAAACGTGGCTAGCTGAAAAATCCCGAAAAACGAAATGCAGGTTTTAATATGTTTATAGTATAAATAGCCTTATAGCTGGGAAAATCATCGAACCAAAAAAAAAGATGTTTCCAGCAAGCGAACTGTTTGACGACATCGGTCAAGATTTGTGGCAGCGCTTTGTTGCTCTGGGTGCTCCTTTTTTTGGGGACTTGGAATGAACCGATGCTTTGAATCACAGCACAAAATGGGCCTGGAATGGCCTTTTTTGTACCTCAATAAGCTTAACCGCCCCCTTGGGATGTCGTACAGCGACCTCAAAAACCTCCAAACAGCTCATGAGCCAAAAGAAGCTGCCGGGGACGCACCCAGGGTCCAGTTGACCTTAGGAAAATGGTCTACGGTCTCTACGGTACGGTCTACGTCCATTCTATGTTGATGGTTTTCCATGGTTTTCCAGTGATCTATTGGTGAAGGCAACTTGATGTAACTTGCAGGATGCTTTCGATGAAATGACTCATTCCAGTGTCAAGCAAAACAAGTTGAGGCCTGTCCAGCTGGGTGTAACACTCCCGGAGTGTCTCCACCGTTGCAACACCCCCTTGCAGCTCCTTCTTCCACTGTGGCTTATGCTCAGCTTCCCAATCTTCGTCGTCCTCAGGATCCATCGGAACAAGAGGACTAAAAGTTCAGGATCCAGCCCCCTATTTGGGTGTCCCGAGTTTGACCGTCTATTTGTATGAGAACTGTACCGAAGAGATCAAGTCCGACGCTTGGACCACTTTGGACATTGGCAGTGTGATTGGTCCTATTGGAAATGTCCAAGGCTTCATCAAACTTTATCGATGATCCGACTAAATGATGGCACGACATAATCTTGAATCTTGCAATAGGATGAAATAGGTATGTTTTTGGGGGTGGCTCTCCGTAGCTCCCTATTCATTTATGGTGAGGTCATTTTGAGGTCAGAAAAAAAAAAAAAAAAACGTTCACACATCATGATGCCAGTTCAGATCCGTCCTCATCATCGTCGTCGATGCCAATGGACTTGCAAAGGTTGCTAAGCAAAGGACCACTGCCATGGACCTTGGATGTGCCAGTTGAGACAAGCAGTGGCCACGCCAGCCATGGGATCCCAAAATCACTCAACGAATCAGGTTCCACCAGGGTGTTCTTTAGGGGGTGGCTCCTACTATGAGGGATCCATTCCCCAAAGTTGGATGGCTTTCCAATATGATGTGCTATGGTTGCTATGGTTTGAGACAAAAAATGTGACTTAGCCCCATCGAAGCCAATGCGACAGATGTACCGTTTGCCGGTTTTGGAATTCTCATCTAGACCCAGGGTCGGGTTCCAACTTTCATGTGTAGGGCACCGACCAGCTCCAAAAACTACGGTGCCAATTCCAGATCGACATATTTAGACAGGTCAGTTTCCACACCCCGAACCACAAACTGCTATAAACCATAGATTCCATAGATGATTTCACCATGTGGGCCAGTCAAAAAAAAACTCAAACCTTTGGTGGGTGATGCTTCTGATACCTTCAAAGCAGAGCTGCCATGCACGACTTTCCGGCCATCTCCAACTTGAACTGGTCCTTGGCGCTGGCGTCCAACTTAGGTCCACCAAAAAATGGATGGTTTGATGCACAAAACAACCAGAATCAATTAATGGTTTGTTAAAATGGATGGTTTGATGCACAAGTGATGCTTTGTCCAAAAAAAAATGATGCAAAAATTGATGGTGTGTTAAAAAAATGTGGCGTCGTGGATTTGAACCCTGGCCAAGTTGTGTCTGGGGCGACTTTGAAGATCCAGTTGGATATCTGAAAACTACACTGCTACCCCTGGGAAGGCCAAACAAATGCCACCGTGGTCACGTTGTTGTCCATGTGAGCCTCGAACGGTTGTTGCATCTGAGTTGATTAAGGTGACATTCCAAAACCTACTGGTTGGTTGAGAGCAAAGTCCCCTGTGTGCATATTCTTTAATGTGAGAAACCTAACAATAAGCCTACCATTTTGGTATGATTGTTACCACCGAATTATTTCGTTGTTTGTTGGGGGATGATGAAAAAAATATTGGATTTCCTACAGTTCAACACTTCAATATTCCAAAAGCAGTCAGTATACAGTAATGGATAATAGCTATAATCATCCAGAATCCCCAAAAAAAATTGACGCGGGATGCCCAGCAAAAAAAAACAATTACTTTACTTCGTGTGATCCCCACCATGACATTTATACATTTTCTTACTGGCAAATCTTCTGGCATTCTATCTGACATATCTTCTGACATTCTATTTGGCATTCTATCTGGCATATCTTCTGGCATATGATATGGCATATCTTCTGGCATTCTATCTGGCAAATCTTCTGGCATTCTATCTGGCATATCTTCTGGCACTCTATCTGACATATCTTCTGGCATTCTATCTGGCATATCTTCTGGCATATATTCTGACATATCTTCTGGCATTCTATCTGACATATCTTCTGGCATATATTCTGACATATCTTCTGGCATATCTTCTGGCATATCTTCTGGCATATCTTCTGACATATCTATCTGGCATATCTTCTGGCATATTTTCTGGCATTCTATCTGGAAAATCTTCTGGCATTCTATCTGGCATTCTATCTGGCATATCTTCTGGCATATATTCTGACATATCTTCTGGCATTCTATCTGGCATTCTATTTGGCATTCTATCTGGCATATCTTCTGGCATATCTGGCATTCTGGCACATTCTTTCTGACATTCTTTCTAACTTTCTTCTGCACATTCTTTGTCCCATATCTTCCTACATGAGGTCCGGCAGGGAACACTGGCGCTCGCGGTTGAGAGGGAACACTGGGCGTGGATGGTCGTGGTTGAGGTCCGGCAGGGAACACTGGGCGTGGATGGTCGCGGTTGAGGTCCGGCAGGGAACACTGGGCGTGGATGGTCGTGGTTGAGGTCCGGCAGGGAACACTGTGGATCGCGGGTCGCAGTTGACGAGGACGACGAGGACGACGAGGACGACGAGGACGACAAGGACGACAAGGATGACAAGGAGGACGAGGAGGACGAGGAGGAGAGGAGGAGGAGGAGGACGAGGCAGGAGTCAGGAGGAGGCAGGAGGAGGCAACTGACATAAAATCTAACAACCCTCACCTGGCAGGTGGGGAAAAACACGCAAGAAGACACTACTGATCACATAACCTCCTCCTGCTGAATGCTTCTATGATGATGTCCATCCTGCCTCTGGCCCGCGATCGAGTAGATGAGGGCTCAAATGCTCCAGCAAATGTTCCGATGTCACATATCCACCATGCTACCATAGCTGTGATACACAATAGAAACTCTGTGTGATTTTGACTGTCTCAAGCATCAATCCAGCATGAGATCCCTTCAAGTAATTTGTAGTAACTTGCTGTAAGATGTTGCCTGTCTCAAGCGTCTTTGCAAACAGCTCCAAAGGTACAGAAATGGAAATGTCTCTGTCCACCCCAGAAATTTGCCAGATAGAATGCCAGAAAATATGCCAGAAGATATGCCAGATAGATATGCCAGATAGAATGCCAGAAGCCAGAAGATATGTCAGATAGAGTGCCAGAAGATATGCCAGATAGAATGGCAGAAGATTTGCCAGATAGAATGCCAGAAGATATGCCAGATCAGATATATGCCAGAAGATATGCCAGATAGAATGCCAGAAGATATGCCAGAAGATATGCCAGATCAGAAGATATGCCAGAAGATATGCCAGATAGAATGCCAAATAGAATGTCAGAAGATATGTCAGATAGAATGCCAGAAGATGTGCCAGTAAGAACATGTATAAATGTCATGATGGGGATCACACGAAGTAAAGTAATTTCTTCTGCACATTCTTTGTCCCATATCTTCCTACATGAGGTCCGGCAGGGAACACTTGGCATGGATACTCGCGGTTGAGGTCCGGCAGGGAACACTGGGCGTGGCTGGTCGTGGTTGAGGTCCGGCAGGGAACACTGGGCGTGGCTGGTCGTGGTTGAGGTCCGGCAGGGAACACTAGTCGTGGATGGTCGTGGTTGAGGTCCGGCAGCGAACACTGTGGATCGCGGGTCGCAGTTGGACGAGGACGACGAGGACGACGAGGACGACGAGGACGACAAGGACGACAAGGAGGACGAGGAGGAGGCAGGAGGCAGGAGGCGGCAGGAGGAGGAGGCAACTGACATAAAATCTAACAACCCTCACCTGGCAGGTGGGGAAAAAAAAACATGTCCGACATGTCCATGGCCGATTCATTGGTTGATAGTACCCTCTGGTAAACGTTTACATAACTATGGAAAATCACCACTTTTCATGGGAAATTCACTATAGATGGCCATTTTCAATAGCTATGTTAAATTACCAGAGGGTAGTTCCAATATAGTTTCAACATTATCCCTACCAGTGACACCGCTACCACCAACAGTACGGACGTCAGCTTGGCAGAAGAATCTGATTCAAACATATTCAAACAACATATGACTCTGAAAGTCGTGCACCCCAATATTCTACGGTGTGGTCGTGATCTTTCTCCATGAAAACAGCCACATCTTTAGGGGTGTCCCCTCTGTTTGGACAAAACCCAACTGTCATTTTCTGCAAAAAATCCCGGCTTTAAAAAACATCCATACAAGGTATCGTAATAACATCATATATCTGCACAAAATGGTCAGAGATGTTTGATCCCATTTTTGAGACACTCTCGGGTTCTTGAACAGTCCAGGAGGCCATGAAATATCCCATGAAATCCCATCAAATTCCATCAATCTGCTGATGGTTCAACCACCAGTGAAAGCCACGAATCCCCTTGAAAATCTCCAGTTTTCTTGGATAAAATGACTCCCAGTCTTTATGTGTATTCCCAGTGGTTTATTGTAAATCCTCCAATCCTCCTACATCCAACCAAAAAAAACACAGTTTTTTCCATGAATACCCTCTGGTAATTTAACATAGCTATTGAAAATGGCCATTTATAGTGGATTTTCCCATGAAAAATGGTGATTTTCCATAGTTATGTAAACGTTTACCAGAGGGTACCCTTTAAATCCCGTGGAAAATCCAACAGACCCATCTTTTTGCCTCGGTCAGCAGTTTGCGGTTCTCCGCTCTGAGCAACAACAGGATGAAGCGCACCTGACCATCTGCTCCGAAGGAATCCGAAGGAATCATGGGAAAAGCCCCAAAAGGTTGGTGATGTGGCTATGGATCAATACCTATACATACCAATTTTAGGGGGATGAACATCCATTTACCAGCTATTTTGATGTGAACAAAAGGGGTACAAGGTTTTGACACACTGCCAAGTGGTGATCATAGAACTAAGTTCTTGGATTTAGTGTGTATGTATATATATATAGGGATAGAAAGATAATGTTTTTGGTGATCAAATGATGGTTGATGAATTCGTGTTTGTTAGTGGGAAATGTAGCAATTAACTGGGGATTGGCCAAGGTTATTAATTTGCTTGGGGAGAAATCTCCAGGGTTGTAATATGTTGTACTTATGCAAAGTTGGTGATGTAGCTGGCAGTGATCTGACACTAATTTTTATGATCAATAGGTGAAGCTTTAATAAATTTAAAGCAACAATGATGCAAACATTTTTGGATCATATATAGATCATATAGGAAAAAATTGGTGAGATCAATCCGGAAATATGGTGATTCAATGGTGATATTCTACAAAAAAGGGTGATCATCCCCACCAAAGACACGGTGGAAACTCTGGTGACCTGCTTGACCATCAACCCTGGGTGTCTCTGAAAATGGAAAATGTCGATTTTATTGGGAAAACATGGGAAAACTCTGATCAGCCAGCGGATTTCGGTGGATGGCATGGTGTACCTTATTTCAGGTTGAAACCTGGTTGTGCTTGTTGAATCTTTTTTCATTGGAACTGCCCGAATATTCTCAACCAACACATGGGAAATTCGGACATCTATAGATGGTTGTCCCTCAAAGAAAACTTAGTGAACAGTACCTGACTGGAGTCAGGTCGGAGCCCTATGATGTCGATTGATCTGTTTCATTCATATCATCCATGTATATTGTATATATACATACATATCATATATATATATATATGTTATGTATGTATGTGTATATATATATATACAGGTGAATATGAATACATGTCAGTGTAAGTATGGACATACAGTACAAATATATCTGTCCATATGTATATGTCTAAATTGTCTTTCAGAAATAGCAGCCAATGTCCATTTTTCCATGTGTAACACCTTGTTACACCTGCCAGCTTGGGGTCCCTCCGCCATTCTGCAATGAGGGGCCTTTGGCACATATTTCTGCACTGCCATCATCCTAATGATGTTCTCAGTATCCTGGCCACGGCTGGATGACATCATGACGGAGACCGTCCTGACAGTAAAGGACTATAAAGGTACCCTCTGGTAATGACAAAAAGCTATTGAAAATGGTGATTTATAGTGGAATTACCCATTAAAAATGGTGATTTTCCATAGCAAACTGTTAGTTTACCAGAGGGTAATACTGTCAGTGAAGCATCTAGTTGGTCGTAGTTGTGCTCAAATCGCCCCACAGTTTCCGAAAAAAGGGTCCTCTTGCATCACGCTTCTACACAACAAGTTCGGGAGAATAAACCTCGCGCGATCGGAGGCCAACGGCCATTGTTTATAGGTACCCCATGGCAGAGTCTCAGAGACCTCCTCTTGGATGATACAGAAGTTGAATGTTAATTGATAGATATCTCATGATATCTCTATTAGTATCCCTTTTTTTTATCCCACGGCCCTACATGTCCCTCGAAAAATGTTCCAGGGATTTTTCGGACAACATCGGATACCATCCCCGCAACAGCTCGATCCGGAGAATCACCCCCCCGGTTGCAGCGAAAATGGCAGGGTCATCCTGTTAGTTGGAGGGTAAGTTCCATTGGAGGTTTCCCAAAATGGGGGTAGCCACAAATCATCCATTTTAGATTGGGATTTTCCAGAATAAACCATCTATTTTGGGGTACCCTCAATAAAATGGAAATCCCCATATCTCCAATATGATACCCCCATAAATGGTTGATTTATCGAGAGATTTCATCCCAGTGTCTGCTGAAGAGAATCATCTATGTCAGTTGAAGGAAGGGTATAATTTAATAGAGTTTTTTTTTAGTAAAGCAATGTCATAAACCAGCCATCTGGTTTATATGGTTTATACTACTGTAAGATATACTAAGTTTATACCACCCATTGATGGTCAAAAAATGGGGATGACATCCTGTTGCTTCACGGACAATTTGTCGCCAACTTCGCCAAGTGCTCAGAGTGCCCCGACACGCAGGTGGCGGCACTGATGGTCACACGATTCCTGGGAGACAGACAGACCAACAGCAACAAGTGGACCGGGGCTAATGAAGAAGTAGAACCGGGGATAAGTGTTTGAATGTGTCTATGTATAATCATCATATGCATAATATATATATATATATATACAAGTTATACAAGTATACACTATGCAATATAGATTCCCAGGGATTGGTTGACATGGCGAACCCCAGTTGACCAGCACGCCTTTTTTCGAAGCAATCTTCCTCCAGCACTGCGTCAGCTTCGCAACGACCATCAACCCAAAGAGCTTCTCCGGTCCTCCGTTTGCAAAGTTTGATCCCTGCTGATGTCGATCCATCTGGCGACACTCAGAACTGGAGCTTCCTGCACTTCATCACACCATCCAAAGCTGCAGGGGTAGGAAGTGGAAAGAATCCAGCCACGTCAATCTGTGCACAGCCCTTCCGCATGGCGCATCAATAACTGTAGCGGCTTACCTGCGGGCAGAAGCATCACACCCATGGTGCGCATGGGTGTAGCCCGTGTGATTCCAGTAGATGTGCGTTGGGATTTTTTTTTCAGCAAATGGACCAGCAAGAAGACTGGGGCCGGAGAGTTCAAAACCCACAACCATCAGACTTGTCTATTGGGATCCAGTGGGATGGTTGCCCACTTAGTGGACCTGGCATCTCTGTTCCTTCCCCACAACACCCGGACCTTCACAAGATGCACCTCGAAGATCAAATCCGAGTTGGGCGGGATCAGTTTCCTCGGTGGAATTTGCCAAAATCCCACGTGGCCCTTCAAGATCTGCCAAGACGCGCTAGGTGCCATGCCTTTGGAAATGGAACCAGGCTTTCAAAAGAAGCTCCTCAGAATTCTACAGAATTCCGGAATCCTTCCCCAATTTCTACAGATTTCTGTCCCCCAAAATAGATCCATACTATCCAAACCCCATGGGCGCCGCTGGAAAATCCATGGCGAGGCTCCCATAGCCCCGAGGCCCATAGGCCAAAGCGGACGGCACCGTCACCACAGCTTTTTCGCCCTGGGAGAGTTTCATCAAAGCCACGTCCCAGCCAGCTATGACTTGACCTCAGTGGCGAACCAGTGCTTCGCCATCGCTGGGATGTGATTTGTTGATTCCCATGCAGAAAAAACGTCGGTAAGATGGCATAAGATGGCCAGGGTTCCTTCTATAAACCCCGTCATCATTAGATAGTATGCCTAATATTGTCTAATAGTAGACCTATGGATCCCACGGGGAGATCGTTCGAGAGGACCAAGTCGCCAACTCCAACCTTGAAGGTAAATGGAATCTTTCCTCGTGACAGGAGGATCATGGCAGGACAGGAGATCCCTTTAGGTTCACTGTTTTCCGTGTTGCACCATACAGCATGTCACAATGGAACTTGCTCCAAGATGCCCTAGTCTTTGCCGGACAAAAATGATCTATGCTACTTTCACTGCTCCAAAACAATATGGACCCGGCTGGAAGCTAGGGTCAAAGCATCTAAAGCTAAGCATCTGGAAAAAGACCTATGTTTGAAACATGTTGAAACCAACCAATTCACCAGTCCAATTTGGGGGTGAATGAATTTTGAGCTATCGCATATCGCAACCAGGCATCGGTCGTAGGTGGAATCGAACTTGCGACCATTTGACGCCAGCTTCCCCGTGTAGTGTACAGAGATGCGGTCTCCAGACTTAGGATACGTGATGCCATCACCTCTCATGACGGTTTGCACCACCACTCCGCGACTATCCTCCAAAAAACAGGGAGAATTCTCGTAAATAGTATGTGTATGAAATACTGTATGTGTATATATATATATACACTGTATACATGTAACACTGTATATTATATATATATAGATATGTTAAAGATTAGATATATGTCAGACATTGTGAGACATTGTGAGATTGCTTTTAAAAAATTGGCACGAACTAACATCGTTTATCTGGCTTACCTCCCCAAAAATGTCCACTTTTTTGGGTCATGAAAGATGTCCAACAGTATCTCAAAAGTGTTCCAGTGTTCCAATCAATCTACTTAATAAGTGCTTACAAAAGCAGTTTTTCTTGGCTCAGGTCATCCAGATCTTCTGACCAGGTCATCCCCCAGGGTCCCAAAAATCTGGTCCTGTCTCACCTTGATCCCCAGCAACGTGATGTCCAGGGTCAACGGCAGATCACAAGTGTCCGTTTTTTCGTTGGAGATCTCCCAGAGCTCCTTTCCACCTGACAGATCAGATCCAAATAGATGGCTCAGCATGGCTCAGCATCAAATCGTGGAGATATATAAACCAGCAACTGTCAGGAGGCTTGGACCTCAAGCAGAAACTTTCAAGAAGATCCTGATCGTCACACCAGCGCTAATTTTCAGCAAATGTTCAGGTGGTGAGAATCCACCTGGAAAAGTTCTTGGCGCGATCGCAGCTATGTGGGCCAGTTCACCCTCGTATCCACTCCTATCCTACCTTGTTTTCACATCAAAAATCACAAAAAAAAATGTATTCTGATATAGTTCATCCTTTCAAATGTCTGGCCATTTTTAATGCCAAATGATATGGACCCATGGATTTGATCCTCTCAAATTGATGGGAAATGTCTAGGCTTTTTGAAAAACGCCTTCGTCAGGTTCGCCGTAGGCCAGGAGCCGCTTGCTTTCACCGCACACCATGCCTTGGTGGATTAACTATCTGGTTGGTGGTATACCTACCCCTCTGAAAAATATGAGTTCGTCAGTTGGGATGATGACATTCTGTAGCGGCAGCACAAGGAGCTATATTGGGCAAACCCACACCAAATGCAGCTAAGTCGCCGTAGGTGATGGAAATGATATAGTTAGAACCCCAATGCAAGCAAGGTGCTCAGCGCACCGGTTTTCCACAGCAGCAGGATCTCAGTGATCCGTCGCAGCCGGCATGGCTGGCGCAAGAAAAAGGGCCCTTTCCTGAGCCAAGTCACGGTCGTGACAAATGGTGGTGAAATGACCTGACAGGCACGGGCTGGACAGTCTCTGGTTCAGCTGCACCAGCACAAAAGAAGTTCAGGTCATGAATCACCTCTGTACTGCTCAGAAAAGGTAAAACAGACCCTAAAAACATCTCAGCATGTTGATGTCGTGAGCCAGCATGGATTGCATGAAGAGCATGTGAGTCATCATTGATTGCGAGCTCATGCTGAAGATCGTGAAGATGAAATTCATGAGCAATGATTGCAAGTGCATGTTCTGAGAAATCTTCGTATGCTCCATGAACTGCCAGCGGTGGCGAAGTGTCACCTAAGGCATCATCAATCTTCTGAATCGCTGTCTTTCCAATCTTTTTGTTCCGCTTCGCAGCAACAAAGTTTGGGTCGAAGGCAATGCTCCAGCAGCGATTTTTCATATACTTCAGCAAGGACAAACGGCTTTCACCACGCTTCTTGGTGAAGGCATCAGCAAGGTCATAGTCTGATGCTAGCCATCGCAGCTCGCATCCAACTCTCTTCAGGTTGTCCCTCAGCTGGAAAGCCTGTAGAGCGGCCCTCATGTTGGAGAGCCCCAACAATGGTGATTCGTTCACCTCCACTGCATCATAGCCTCCTCTGGAATCTGTGCACAAAATTCCAGTGACGAGCGCAGCTTTGTTCTCGGCCATCTCAACCAAGTCAGGTCGCCGATCAGGGCGTTGAAAACCAGCTCCATGAAGTTCGCTCCAGAGCATTCTCACTCTGAAGTTTTGGTCCTCAGCTTCCAAGATGCTTTGGACTTCGGCATCATTGCTGCCGATAGCTTTTCGTTTCAGCTTCCATGTCCTCCATGAAATCAAGGTCATAGGCACGACCTTTCCAGAAACAGCTTCAGGGCCAGCAGCCAAAGTTACCATACCACCAGTTGAATCTCCTTGAGGTCGATTGGAGTGAGATTGGTCACCCATCGAAATGAAAACAACATCATTCCATTGCTTGGCCCCAGGAAGTTTCGAAAACTCGAGGCAAAAAGGTTCTGCTCGAACTTCAGTGATCATCTGTTGGATCTCTCGAGCTGTTTCCAAAGTGCCGTTGGTAACCACCTCGGTCAAAAGCAGGTTGCATCTGGCACATAGTTGTGGTTGTGTTTGAATTGCCAACCACTGGAGAGCGCCCAGAGCAGTGCGGCAGGCAGCTACTTCTTGCTTTTGAAGTGGTCCATTTTGGTAAAGGCGTTCTGCAGGAATGGCTACGTCAGCCACAGATTCCACATAGGCATCCTGGTCCACCATGAGCTTGAACTGGTCGGAGTTCTTGCAAGGAACAGTCTTGAGGTCTGTTCCAGCGTGTCTGTAGTTGCCACGCTTTGCAGTCCCCCACTTGTACGCAGCAAGGATCTCGTTGTAGATCTTCTGCCATTCAGGTGAATTGAAGTTGCCACAGCAGTGGAAGTCATCCACGTGGCCACCCATCACACCAAGCAAGCGAGGAAAACGACCTGTGGCTTCCAACTCCGTCTTTGAAAACCAGGCCCATAGACATCGTTCGCCAAGAATTGGCGTTGCACCAAGGGAGACGAGGGTCTTGTGCAAGTCAAGCCACAAACCTCGAGGTGCAGTTGTTGATCCATAAATGTTGCGTAGAACTCTCATAAGTCCACCTTCAGGAATGCCAAGTGCGGCACGAAGTTCAGAAACACCTGTAGTCCAAATCTCAGCATCAGCTTCCGTAGGCTGAGTCTGCAAAAACGCAGTCGCCAAATCCAAGCCATGAATCTCCCATTGTTCTTGAACTGCAAGGAGGTAGATCAAGTTGTGACCAATCATGGATTGGACAGGAGCTGAGGTTTTGAAGGAGCGGTCAAGAAGACTAGGATGTTGAAAACCCAGCAACACAATCCTTGCTTTGGCTTTGCGAGATCCATCCTTGGAGAGCACAGTCTCAGGGTCGTTGGCAGCCTCATGTTTGGCTTGCTCAATCTCATCAGGAGGTGTGCATTTCCAAGTCAACACCCAACGCGCACGTATGATTCTGTTGGAGTCATAGGCACGTCGAACTTCTTCATCACTCAAACATTTTCTCACCGCCTCATTCTTCAGAAAGGAGGTGACCTCTTTGGTCTTGGCACGCTGGAAAAGTGAGCGGTCATAGTCGCTCAGTCGTTGAACTTGTACTTCAGCACCATTGAGCTTCTTCGCCAAGAAGAGCACAGGTTGCCTCTCAAGCATCTTGCGCTGCCGGTTCGTGGACAGCTCAAGGTCAAAGCAGATTTGGATGACCTCATCATCGGTCTGCTGCAAGGCTGAAAAGGCATCCATGGTGTTAGATTCCAGCGCAGCGTCAGTTTCAAGTTGTTCCACCCATTTGAGGTCGTAGGCAGTGTTCTTTGGACGCTTTGGTGCTGTTTCATCAGGGTGAGGTACTGGAGGTGCATCATGTGAACCATTTTCACCATCACCATCTCCATAGTCATTCACAGCTACATCTTCACCATCATCAAGAACTGATGGTCGCGGAGCTGTTGTTGTTGTAGGTCTGGAGGAGGAAGATGGGCCAGAGTTGACCATTGGAGGTGAGCTCGGAGCCAAAAATCCAGGGGCTCGGTCAAGTCCAGGACCATAAGTCGACGAGCTCTGCCCACGAAGTCCAAGGGGCGTCGATCGATGGATCGTCCTCCAATCTTCCGGTGCCACAGTCTTCTTTCCATAGACCCGTTGACCAGGAACCACAGTGGTACCATCAGGTAGTGGTGGTAACATTGGTTCTTCAAGTTGGTCAGGAGATGGAATCTCGTCAGAGATATCGGTGAATTCCCTGGCTGGGATGATGTCAGTGAGTGACTTCCATTGGGTGATGTCCTCCTTGTTGTTGAGCTCGTGGTGAAGCTTCTCAGTTGGAGTGACCGGTCGAACAGAATGCGCAGAACAGCGCGGCAGCTTGCCACCAATCAAAACCCAAATGATGTGACGTCGTTCATCGTCCAAGTCTTGGTGAGCAAGTCGTTCTGAAAAGATGACTCGGCCAGGTCCAACCCATCCAGGTCTGGATGCTTTCTTGAATCCACCACGTGGTCCAGTGTGAATTTCTTGAGGAAGGACTTTTCGCCAAATTTTCACCAAAGCACCAACATCATAGTTCCGCAAGGGCTGTCGTGCCTTGCTGTTTGCAAGACGACCCAAAATGCGGTTGGCACGTGTCTTCACAGCCACATCTTCAGCTCGTTGTCGAGCAAGGACAATGTGGGAGAAGGTTGCTGTGTCCCCCAACTGCGCCAAGTTGCGCCTGTCCTCATCGGAGATCATGTAGTCTCTGCCAAAAGCCCATTGGTGGCTGGAAAAACCTGACACGTACTCTGTGGAGTTGAGAGCTGATGTTGCTAAAATCAGCGTCACCTTTGGATCTTGTTCAGGCGAATCAGTCTGTATTGCGCTCGCAGTGAACTTCAGGTCCTTGATGGCGTGTTCCACCAGGCCATGTGCCCAAGCTTCCTTCTCCGCAGGAAAGGTGAGCTCGATGCCAGCTTCACGGCAAAATTCACCAAAGCGCACAGACGTAAAAGACTTGGCATTGTCGGCCACGATGATGTGTGGCTTTGGGTACACACCAAGCCAACATTTGGAAACACCTTCTATGATTTGCTCAGCATTCTCAGTTGTCATCTTGGTGATGTCGTAGTTGTCAAAGACAGGGAAAACAGCACGGAGTCTCGTGCACATGTCAATCACCAAAAGAAACTTTTGTTTGGTTGCCCTGAGAGGTATATACCATTCAGCCACATCAAGTCCAATGGCTTCCCAAGGTCCAAACTGAGCATGGTAGCCGCTGGAGGAACATTGCCGCTGGAGATACCACCTGGTCGAAGTCCATCGCAAGTGGGGCATCGAAAGTCCATTGCCATCTTAATCTTCCAGGGCTCTATCTTTGCATCACGAACAATTCTGGCAAGGTTGCGGCCAGAACAGTGTCCAGCAGCTTTGTGAAAGTGAAGCAGCTTCACCTTGAAGCGTTCTCGTTCAGCATCAGTTGGTTCAGTTGCTGCAGAGTTTGGAGCAGCAGCAGCCGGTGCAGGTTCTGGAGGTTCAGCATCATCGGCATCAAGGTCGATGACCACACCAGCAGGGCATAGTTCACCATCGAGCAAGTTCACCTCAGCAACGTCGTGAAAGTCCATGCGACGTAGTTGCTGATGAGAAACTTCTTGTTTGACCCAAAACCGGGCTATTGCTTGAACCATTTGCCATGGGTAGTATGCAGATTTTGCGGTCTCTTGACCTTCAATTCTGCCATGACAATGAGAACCAACACAAACCTTGGCACGAAACTGGCTGTGGAAGTGTTCATCATTGGTCTTGACCTTCCACTTCTTCTTCAAGAAGTCGCCATTGCCATCTCGCATGTGATAGCGGCAGCCATCAATACGGCAATCCAACCATTCGTGACCATGAGCATGTAAAAGCTTCTCAATCGCCAGCATTGGCTCTTGGTTCCAACCATAGCATGGGTGAGGCCATTCCCAAAACAGAATGATCTCAGGATCTTCTTGTATGGCCTTCTTGATGAAGTTGTGAGCACGCCAAAGAAGTTTTCGTTCTCTTCGGCGATAGGCTTCAAGCAGCTCCTTCTTCTCGGGCGTGTTGTAGTTCAAAGAAGTCCAGGGGCACCATCGTGTGCAAGGCAGGCTCCACCAAATTCTTTTTGGTCGACAACGTCGTCGAAGGTCATCAAGTTGT